CTTAGGGCCAAAAGGGAAAAGATACTTAGGGGTACAGAAACTTTTCTTTAAAGGGGTACAGAAACGTTACTTAAGGGGCCCCAGAATCTTACATAGGGCCCCAGAATCCTTTTCTTAGGGAAAACCCGAAACGTTTCTTTTGGCCACAGAAACCCTTTTCTTAGGGCCACAGAAATTTTTACTTAAGGACCCGACACAGAATTGTTTTCCCGGGGGGGATACAGAATTGTTTTCTGAGGGACACAGAACCCTTACCCTTTGGGGGACAGAAACCGGGTTTCTTTGGGGCACAGAATTTGGTTTTCTCAGGGGGCAGACACAGAAATTTTTTACCCAGAGGACAGACACAGAAATTTTTACTCAGGGACACCCAAAATTTTTTACGAGGGACACAGAAAATTTTTACTGAGGGACACAGAATTGTTTTTCTTAGGGGCACAGAATTTTTTACTTTAGGGACACAGAAAAGTTACTCAGGGACACAGAATTGTTACCAGGGACCACAGATTCGTTCACAGGGACACATGAATCGTTACTCAGGGACACAGAATTGTTAATCTGGGACACAGAATTGTTACTCTGGACACCGAATCGTTACTGAGGACACAGAATTGTTACTGAGGGAACACAGAATTGATTACTCAGGGACACAGAAACGTTACTCAGGGACACAGAAACGTTACTACAGGGACCAGAATTGTTAATCAGGACACAGATTGTTACTCAGGGACAACAGAATCCGTTACTGAGGGACCACAGAATTGTTAACTGAGGGACACAAGAATTGTTACTCAGGACCAGAATCGTTACTCAGGGACACCGAATCGTTCTAGAGGGACACAGAATCGTATACACAGGGACACAGAATTGTACTACCGGGACATCAAGATTTACTCAGGGACTAAGCTTCGTTACTCCCCCCCCCCCCCCCCCCCCCCCCCCCCCCCCCCCCCCCCCCCAGTAATTGAATACTCCGTCCCCCCCCACACACCCCCCCCTCCCCCCCTCACCCCCCCGCACCCCCTTTGTCCCCACCCCCCCAAACAACAGAGTCGTTAGCTATCAGAGGACACAGGCTTCGTTTACTGTCAGTTGATCCGTAGAATTGTTACTCAGGTCTGAAGCGACACGTTGGATCGCATGATGCGTTACTCAGCGGACACTCCCTTAGGTTACATAGGGGGGGGGGGGGGGGGGGAGGGGGGCGGCCAGGGGGTTTTTAGGGGGGGGGGGGGGGGGGGTACCTCGGTGAGGACACACGTCGTTAGATGAGAGCGCACCGCGCAGTAGAATCGTTTACCTGAGGGACACAGAATTGCGGTTTACACCGACGCGACACAGAATCTTAGTTACTCACGGTGTCACAGTAATCATTACTCAGGGACACAGAATATGTTACCTCACTGTCTCCATCCCAAGACTCGATACCATAGTGCCAGAATCTTTGAATTAAAGAGTAATGTCTCACTCAACTGCAGAGTGAGTGGCAGTTACATTTTTTGTCATAAGGTGCTAGTAGCAGATTACTGGCCTCCTATATCGTGCTGCCCAGGCCCCCCCTAAATCTGCCATGGGCCCCAGGAGCACCGCCTCCTCATGGTGCTAGCCAGGGGTCCAGAGTCTCCTCATGGGTCCCGTACGGCCTCCCATTGCTGCTGCGTCTCCATCGCCACACTCTGCCATTGCCACTTTCAGGTCTCCTCACACTGCTGGGTGTGTTCCAATTTTTTGTCATAGTGTGCTGGCAGATACGGGCCTCCCATAAGCTGCTGCCAGGCCCCCTAATCTGCCATAAGGCCCCTATATAACCGCCTCCTCATATGCTGGCCTGCCAGCCTAACTTTCAGGTCTCCCAGAGTGTGTTTCATTGGTCCTCTTCAGGCCTAGATAATGGCCTCCCATTGCTTCTAGCTGTCCTCCATCGCCATGCCCCAACAGCCTCAACTAAAAGTGAGGCTTTCCATGGTGCCACATGATGGTCCTCAGGTCCTCCCTCATAAAGCACTAGGCGAGTCTCACACACTGCTGGTGTGTTCCATTTTTTGTCATAGGGTGCTGGCAGATTACGGGCCTCCCATAGCTGCTGCCAGGCCCCTAATCAGTGTCTCATGGGTCCCTGTACAGGCCTCCATTGCTGCTGTCTCCATCGCCACACTCTGCCATGTGCCACTTTCAGGTCTCCTCACACTCCTGCTGGGTTCCATTTTTTGTCATAGGTGCTGGCAGATTACGGGCCTCCCATAGCTGCTGCCAGGCCCTAATCTGCCATGGGCCCCTAGTATGACCGCCTCCTCATGCTGCTGCCAGGTCCACAGTCTCTCATGGGTCCCTGTACGGCCTCCCATTGCTGCTGTCTCCATCGCCACACTCTGCCATGTGCCACTTTCAGGTCTCCTCACACTGCTGGTGTTGTGTTCCATTTTTTGTCATAGGGTGCTGGCAGATTACGGGCCTCCCATTGCTGCTGCCAGGCCCCGTAATCTGCCATGGGCCCCTGTACCGCCTCCTCATGCTGCTGCCAGGTCCAGAGTCTCTCATGGGTCCCTGTACGGCCTCCCATTGCTGCTGTCTCCATCGCCACACTCTGCCATGTGCCACTTTCAGGTCTCCTCACACTGCTGGTGTGTTCCATTTTTTGTCATAGGGTGCTGGCAGATTACGGGCCTCCCATTGCTGCTGCCAGGCCCGTAATCTGCCATGGGCCCCCGTACCGACTCCTCATGCTGCTGCCAGGCCCGTAATCTGTCATGGGCCCCTGTTGTCGCTTGTTGGCATATTCCGCTCGTTCAGATGCTCCTTCTCCTGCTACTCCCTCTTCACGGATTCCGTCAGCAGTCTTTCTTGGAATCCGTTTCCAAGAGACAACAGTTTGCGAGCACGCACCCGACGGTGCAGAAGCTGAACGTCCTCCTGTCCAAGTTGCTGCTGCCAGGCTCGTAATCTGTCATGCGCCCCTGTACCGCCTCCCTCATGCTGCTGCCAGGTCCAGAGTGTGTCATGGGCCCCCGTACCGACTCCTCATGCTGCTGCCAGGCCCGTAATCTGTCATGGGCCCCTGTACCGCCTCCTCATGCTGCTGCCAGGTCCAGAGTGTGTCATGGGTCCCTGTACGGCCTCCCATTGCTGCTGCCAGGCCCGTAATCTGCCATGGGCCCCCGTACCAACTCCTCATGCTGCTGCCAGGCCCGTAATCTGTCATGGGCCCCTGTACACCGCCTCCTCATGCTGCTGCCAGGTCCAGAGTGTGTCATGGGTCCCTGTACGGCCTCCCATTGCTGCTGTCTCCATCGCCACACTCTGCCATGTGCCACTTTCAGGTCTCCTCACACTGCTGGTGGGTTCCATTTTGTCATAGGGTGCTGTATGGCCTCCCATTGCTGCTGCCTCCACCGCCACACTGTGGCTCCACACTCTGGTTTTGGCCCCGTGACTGCCCAAATGAGTGAAGTGTGCGGTGATTCTAAGATCGACGGCACTCATCTGCATGTCATACTGACTGACAGTATTATTTCTCTTCCCCAGCAGACTCCAAGGGCATTTAAATTAAAGGTGCAGTGTTCTGCACTAATATAAAGGCTCTCTGAAGCCTAGAAACACCCTTTTATAAGTTAAAATTTGCAGCGAATATATTGTGACTCAAATCAAAATTTTTTCACGAATTTGCTGAATCAGTCGAATCAAATTTTTGAATAATTCGCTCATCTCTACTCCTAACCTCTGGGATATTTCCCCAAACCCTGGTCCTTCACCACCTCACTCACCCACTGGGCTCCCTCCTACCCCCACAAATCGCTGCAACACCCCCTCAACCTTATACCTGCCCCCCCTCCTCCCCGCATCCATCCCTCCACTCTCAGTTGGACTCCTGAATGCCCGATCGGTTTGCAATTAGTCTACAATCGCCTATGTGCCCACTCACTGATAACAACCTCCTCGATCCACTATAGTCTGGCTTCCGTCCCTTACACTCCACCAAAACCGCCCTACTCAAAATCACTAATGACCTGCTAACCACCAAAGCTAATGGTCACTACTCAGTCCTCTTACTCCTCGACCTTTCCGCGACCTTCGACACAGTCGACCACCCCCTCCTCCTTAACAAACTACACTCCCTCGACATCAGAGAGTCCGCTCTCTCCTGGCTCTCCTCCTATTTATCCCAACGCTCCTTCAGCGTTACCTATAACGCTGCCACCCTCCCTCTCTCTCCCCCTATCTGTTGGGGTCCCCCAAGGCTCAGTCCTTGGGCCCCTTCTCTTTTCCATCTGCACCTCCTCCCTTGGCAAACTGATACACTCCCATGGCTTCAACTATCACCTCTACGCCGATGACACGCAAATTTACCTCTCCACCCCTCACCTCACCCCTTCAGTCTCCGCCCGTATCACCCATCTGCTGAACGACATATCAGACTGGATGTTGCTCCATTTCCTCAAATTGAACCTTTCCAAAATCGAGCTCCTGATTTTCCCCCCAGCCCGTGCCCCCTCCACCCTTTCCATCACGACCAACAACGCCACCATCAGTCCCACCCCATAAGCCAAAGTCCTAGGTGTCACTCTAGACTCAAACCTGTCCTTCCAACCCCATGTCCAATCATTGGCAAACTCATGCAGGCTCCACCTCCGCAACATCTCCAAAGTACGTCTGTTCCTAACTCGAGACACTACTAAACAACTCATTCACTCCCTTATTATCTCACGTCTGGACTACTGCAACTCCCTTCTCACCAGCTTACCTCATCACAGACTATCCCCGCTTCAGTCTATCCTGAACTCAGGCCAGACTCATCCACCTCACCAAACTCTCCGTATCCGCCACCCCTCTCTGTCATTCCCTCCACTGGCTCCCGATTGCCCAACGCATTAAATTCAAACTACTAACAACCACATACAAAGTCATTCATAACGCTGCCCCAAACTACCTCACCGACCTGATACCCAAATACCACCCAACCCGTAATCTTCGCTCCTCACAAGACCTCCTACTTTCTAGCTCCCTGGTCTCCACCTCCCACGCCCGACTGCAGGACTTCTCCAGGACTTCCCCCATCCTCTGGAACTCACTACCCCAATCCATCAGACTGTCACCTACCCTCCTCACCTTTAGGCGCACCCTGAAAACCCATCTCTTCAGGGAAGCCTACCCCGCCCTCACCTAACAGCCAATCTCCTCCACTCCTCCTACCACTCCATCCCCCACAGCCACTTCCTCCTGTACCACTATCCCCTCGCTCTTAGATTATAAGCTCGAAAGAGCAGGGCCCTTTAATCCCTCGTGTTTTGTTTTGTTACTGTATTGTCTCATGTACTGTCCCCCACTACAATGTACAGCGCTGAGCAAAACCTTTTAGCGTTATATAAATACTGTAAATAATAATAATGTGCTTAACAGTAACAGAAGGTTTCCTCATATTTCATGTTATTTTCAATACCAACAATTGGAGGATTATTCCTCATTTCAGATAGTGGGTGAAGCCATGCAGTTTTTTCCTATATACCTTCTGCCCCGCTCTGTATCCTGAACCACCACTTTCTAGCAAAGATTCTGCCTTGTTCTTGGCATTGAATGGGACATTGTGAATACCTCGTGTTCTACAAAGACTCCATTGTGCCATGCATCGGTTCAGTTGGGGGCTTTCTGTTCATTTTTGCCCACCTTATCATAACCGGTTGGGTTATGACTTCCTAAACCTTTTGATGAAATCTCCCACCATCCCTTCCAAATAGAAATATGAATATTAGGATCAACATCAAATGGAAACCTTTAAAGGGCTCTTCCAATCCCAACCTTCCTGCTGGACTGATTCTCTTTGTCTCTGTGTTAGATTTCTAGCCTTCTCATTAACAAAGGGATCTCTTTATTTAAAAAAAAATATATGATATGCGATAGTCTCAAGCATTCACTCATTTGTCATGATACTTCCCATATTTTGCATAATATGTTTATTTCCTGTGTCTGCCCTATCTAGTATCCACAATGTGGTATTTTCTTGATAGATGTAATTCAGGAAAATACTGCCTTATGGCCACTAGATGTGTAGCAAACTGGCTCATCAGAGTTGGACGTGGAGTTCCCCTTTTCTATTGGAGGTATTCCTCGATCCTTCATTCCCTACCCCCTCCCTTCCTGAGAGGCCCAGTGTCAGCTGGTGTGGGCTGGTTAGGAGGGTCAACCTCAGGTTAAGGCATCCCTAGTTTGGTGCTGAGCAGTCTGCGATAGTGTAACTTTGCTCACCTAAGTCCTGATAAGGCCAGCGTTTCTCAGTGAATTGGGAAGCACTGACCCTAGACCCTGTGTAGGCTCACCCATCATAAAACAGATAAGGCAGCTTCTCCCCGGAATTGAAAGAGATTGTAACCTCACAAAACAGCTAAAGATGACAGAATGAAATGAACATTCCTCGAGTCAGGTTTTTTCCCCTATGTTTCATGTCATGGATTATGACAGATGTTGGTTCTAATTCAGAGTTCACCCGACTGACCCCTCCCAAAACAGCGTAGTGGCCAGTGTTCAGAGCTGCCCCCCCCCCTCCTTTGCAGAGGGATTTTAAAAAGACAGGCTGACAAGCCTAGAGAAGCTAAACACATCTCCTGATCTTAACATCATAACAGAGGAGATCAAAGACCCTTTCTGCTCTGCAACTTTGCAACTTGGATCTGCTTACAAACCAAGGCTTATTGGCAAGTAACTTAATCCTTTAACTTCCTTCCTATTATCTCTTTGTTGTGGGTCTTTATATGCATATATATATATATATATATATATATATATATAGTTACATTTTCTTTGTAAATATTTTATTACACCTGTTTGACTCTTTTAGTAATAAATATTTCTTTCTGAAAGTGTTAAACTGTCTCTAAGCACTTACTTGCAATTCACAAATTCCTGCCTTTGAAGAGACGCTACTGTGTTTGTTTAATCCTCTGCCCAATCGGCCTGCGGTGACCGTATTGGACAGGCGACTTTTCAATCATTATAGTGTATATTTGATAACGGGAGTTTCCCAGTGTCCGACAAAAGTGGTGGTGGCAGTAGAGGGTTAGTTGCGTAATTAACCTGACCCAGTAACAAGCGCTTTCAGGCTGCAGGCACCAATTGTAGCCCATTAGCTGGACAATCGCTGTGCAGGGTGCAGCTGGGTGTGGCCTTGTTACGCGCATCACACTGCGGTTTTAGGTCGGCCGGTCCTTTGGTCACGAGTTTGGTGAGAAGGTCTGGGGTCTGACGCCGCGGGCGTGATATATTATTGTTGGTCGTGCTATTGTCGCATGTTGGTGACGGCAATCGTGCGATCGTGACATATTGGCTGGCAGCATACGTGGGATAATTGCATTAAGAGCTTCAGTGCAGTGTTAAAAATTGGCTCTGCACTGAAGAATTGTAACCTTTGTGGAAACAGTCCTAAGAAACAAGGGGTGCATATTTGTTATAGAGAGAGAGAGAGAGAGAGAGAGAGACATATAGCAACATCTCCTTCCTTTTCCTACTTTTCTCTTCTATCTTTGCTTGCAATTATGCCTGGTGCAGCAGAATACGAGAAAATGAGCAAAGGTGATTTGAAGGCACCATGTACCTCACGAGGATTGGACGTCGGTCGCAAAAATCGTGAAGATTTGATTAGTGATCTAGTGGATATGATATCCGAGCAGATCAGGACTCAGGGGAGCTTGACTATGGAGGGGTTCCCGTTACTCACATTTCCAGTGGCTCAGAGACGGGCTCACAGGATGGGCATACAGAGACTGACACTGGAAGATCACCAAATGTTATTGTCACACCACCGCCTGAGCGCGCCAACACTGTGGTGCCTGTAACCAGCAGGGACTCTCCTCAGATGCAGGAAGCCCTGAAATGCCTCATGGAGACAGATCTGGAGGCATACCTGCGGTTCCTTAAACGCCAGGCTGACAGAAAAACTGCGGAACGTCAGGCTGAGAGAGAGGAACGCCAAGCAGCGGCTGACAGAGAAACTGCGGAACGCCAATATCATCACACTGATTAGAGTCAAGGTTGGCTCACTCCTGGCTCCAATTAGCTCTGGGAGAAGTCATTAAGCTAGGGCCTCACATAATTTTTCCTTCCTGCACTGTGAATGTTTACATGTTATGTGCAATTAAACCATGGCAACATCTAATGTTTGTGTAGTATTATGTTCAGCAGACTGTGTTCTTCTATTGTTGTGACTTAGATGACGTTCAGAGCACATTTTATGCCCAATTCATGCAAAACTCCACGTAATCCCAAGGGGTTCACATACATTTTCTTGCAACTGTATAGACCCCAGATGGTTTAGCCCAGGCATGTCCAAAGTCCGGCCCGCGGGCCATTTACGGCCCGGGGGTCGGTTTAATACGGCCCTCCAACAGCCCTACCTGCTCTGTGTAATGTGGCCCTCCCTTCTATGGCAGACAATCTTTTGCTTGAGAGAGAGGGCAATGCGCATGCCTGACTGCGGCGCGTTCTCCCTGGTCTGTGTAAATGCGGCTGTCGCACGACCCTCCCTTCTGTGGCAGACAGTCTTCTGCTTGAGAGCAGTGCGCATGCGTGACTGCGCCGCGCTGGGAGCG